CTGCTGAGCTCAAACAATCCACCCGCCTTGGCCTCCCAGAGTGCTAAGATTACAGGCGTGAGCCACCGCACCCGGCCCCAGGTCTGAGCTTTAAACAGCATGATCAGTTGCTGAGAGCTGGTAGGTACGAGGCCCTGTGAGGAGCACTTGGCCTAGGCTACCCTGATGAATGCCCCCAGCACCCTCTGAGTCAGGGTAACACCAGCTTGCATTTACGACCCACTTTTCAGGTGCAGGGCCTAGAACTAAATGCATTAAGTTGACAACCTGCTAGTGAGGCAGGTATACTTGGTGACAAGGGGACTTCTTAAAGTATGCAGAAGATGGACACTTGCATGGCCAAAGATGTCCTCGAAAACCTTCGGGAAGACACCACCTCAAGGACCAACTCAGTAAGGGCAGCAGAGCTCAGTTCTTTCCTCAAGCACCAGGCAGATGGCTCTGTACGTGTATGTATGGAGTACTGGATGAAGTCGCTAACTTGTGTTTAGAGGCTGCCATGTTGCACAAATATAGTTGCTTTTAGACACTGGACCTACTTTCTGCTAACAAGTTGCTCAATTATGAAAAGTACACGGGTCTGACCAGGACTGCAGATTCCCATCTCCTATCTCCAGGGAATGTGCTCTTTGTCTAGAATATATGGTGGACTCAATAGTGAATAGAATATATGGTGAAAACACATTGAGTGGAATATATAACACCATCAAAAATTTTCTTCTTTTTAATTCGTCTAGTTAAATGCAAGTATGTTTTTTGTGTGCATGAGACATTTCCTCTGTCTTCCCATTTTACAGATACGGAAACTGAGACTCCTAGAGTTTAAGTCCTTGCCTAAGGTTACACAGCACAGAAATAGTCACAGCATAAATTGAGCCTTGTCTGCCCAGTGCAGCGCCCTGTTCAGCCCTGGGTGCCTCACTCAGCAAGGGACCTCCCTTGCTGAGGTCCCTCTCATGATAAACTGTAAGGAGGCAGCTGATGGAATCCCAACTTTTGATGGTGACTGTGGGATGGGAGGGGAAGATGGTAGAAATGCATCGAAAGGCCAGCAGTTCACTGATGTGGGAAATTGTCTATATTTTAGGTCAGTTGTTAAGACATATTTTGGTCTGCACAGACCCAGCCGAACAGGAATGTTGGTGTGGACATATGGTTGCCAGGAGTTTTAATGGAAAAGTACTTGGGCTCACATTGGAGTTTAAGTCCCCTTCATTGCCCCACTAGTAGGCTGGAGTGACTGAGGCCAGTGGGGAATTACCAAGCCTGTGGCTCTCACTGCATCTCAAGCCCCTAGAGCTGGGCTTCCTTGTTTACTTATTTAGAGCTAGCAGAGGAAGTGGTAAAGGAAACTAGCTGAGTCGTTTTCTGAGAAGAGACCATATTTGTTCGTAGAGGAAGCCGTTGCTTTCTGGGATCTGGCTACAGCAGAAAAGACGGTCTGCTCCAAAAAGGCTGTTCCAGAGGGTAGCTGGCAGTTGGAAGAGCCAAGGACGCCTCCAAGCTCTGGATTTGGGGTCCTCTGTCTATGGGTGCAGTGCCCATGCCCAGCCTGTGAGCTTCCTCCTGGAGAGCAGCCATGGCGCTGAGGAATGTGCCCTTTCGCTCGGAGGTCCTGGCCTGGGACCCCGATAGCCTTGCTGACTACTTTAAGAAGGTGAGCCTTGCCTTTATGTTAGTGGTTGGGCTGGTGGGCTTGCCCTTGGTGGTCTGGGCAGAGGCTTGAAGATAGAATCTGGGCAGAACACACGAGGTGTATAAGGTAGTGATGGAACTAACAACCCCACAGCAATCTTACCGGTTGAATGAGAGCCATGTAGACCGCTGAGTTTTCATGGCAATGAGTTCTGGAGAGAAAGGTGGGAGGGGGAGCCCTCACATGAGTGTGTGCCTACTATGTGCCGCGGTCTGAATTTAGTGCTCTACAGGCACTGGCCCACTTAACACTCCCCGCTGTCTTGGGTGGTTAATATTGTCATCCGCCTCCTTGGCTCAGCAGCTAAACCAGCTCAGGGGAGTTAAATGGCCCAAAGCCCCAGAGACTAAAGGTGAAAGAGGCAGGATTCAAGTCACGCTTGTGTGGCTTCAAAGTCTATGCTCTAAGATGCAGAGAACTGCTACAGCCGCTAATGAGATCAAGGCTACTTACTAGAAAGGGGAGACATGGAGTCCTGGGGTGGGAGAAAGGACAGGCAGGCTGGGAGAGCTGTAGGGGGTTATGGTGAGCAATGCCAGACATGGCATTTGGGCATTCTTTGCACGTGACACTGAGAGAAGGGTCCTCAAGATCTCACATGGGACAAGATTGCGTTAGAACTTTATGAGAGTCTCATGAGACAGGCCAGAAAACTGATACAAGTCCCAGTGTATAACTAGGGAAACGGAGGCCCCTACACCCCTATAGGCTTAGCCAGGCAGAGCCCAGGGCCAAGCTTGCCGTAGAGCTGGGACCAGGGTCTTGCTCTCCTATCTTCCAGGCCTGGAGGAGAGGCTCAAGAATCCCCAGGCTTGGTCATTTGCCAGTGGGGGCTGCACATCTGTGTGGGCAGATCTCAAGGCACATGACTCAGTTAGGGGCCCTCTCCCCCTGTCCATGGGACAAGATGCCTTGTGAGGGATGTTTGAGCTTCCAACACCCTCATCCCTGCAGGCTGGCATCAGACTCGGTTACTATTCCAGACCACCATAAAGATGAGATTGTATAAAGCTAAGACCTTAGAAGTCACCTAACTCAACTTCCTGTTTTTCCTGGGAAGCTGAGATCCAAGGGGGTGAAATAGGACACATAGCTCCCTAGGACACATAGCCAAGCCTGGAGTCTGCGCAGTTCCCAGGTCCTTACAGTCAGAACAGTTCTTCCCCAACCTACGGAAGAAAATGTGAACATGTTGAACAGGGTGTGGCGTGGTAGGGGCACAGCCCACAGATCCTGCTACTTGCCATGTTTTGCGAATTTCATTTCTGTTATTTTCCTTCCAAAAGGTCATAATAAACTTAGGTTTCAGCAAAGAATTGAGCACAACTGGCTTTTGAAGGCAATTTCTAAATACTTTCCTTAAACTTAGACCAAATAGCTGGGGCAACAAGGTAAAATTTGCCAAGATGGAATAAGATGACATGTTACCTCCATAAAGAGAGGAGAAAGGAATTGACATGAAGAGAAAGCTTGCAGGCGGGCTGAGAGGCACAGACAAGCCCCATCTTCAAGCGTGACCAGGAGAATTATACAACCAGGGAACAACAGGGAACCTAAGGGCACAATTCCTGTCAGTGCAGGGAGATGGACTACAGGTCAGGGGTGATTCAGGGAGACACCTCTCTGCCTGAGTTGGGGGAAGCGAGGGTTTTCTTCTTGGAGATGGCAGAGCCTGGGGCAAATCCATAGCACTGGGACAGGTTCCCACTTCTGGCATAAAAGGACTGAGGGCAGGAACAAGGAGGCTGAGGGCAAGATCCTGGAAGTGGCAGCCCCTCCGTCCCAGACTCAGATAGAGACCCTTCGGATTGTGAGCACCTCCTCCCACCCCACCAAGAGAAAATACAGAGAGAATGGACCGTGGGGTCATTTGGGGATGGATCTTAGCGACCAAACCTGCCACTTAAAGGACCAATCCGCAGGCACAATTTCTACCGAAGTATTGGGGTCAGTCCACTCTCAGGGACACTGCCCCACCCAGCTCTGGAGTCAGACACCTTGGTTTGAATCCCGGCTCTGACACCTGCTAGCTTGGTGGCCTTCCCTTAGTTATGTCACCTCTCTGTGCCTCAGCTTCCTCTTCAGTGAAACAGAGATACTAACAATAACTGACCCAAAGGGAGGCTTGTGAGGATTAAAGCAAATGATGTGTGTGAGGCACTCAGCAGAGAGAGGGGGCCTAATTCATGTTCATGTTTGATCTTCCTTTTTTACTGCTTTATTAACCGGCCCCTAGCTGAGATGCCCATGCACAATGGCGGGCATCTGCGTCTTATTGTCCTGATAGGTGTGTCTCAGCCTGTGTCTGAAATGTAAGCTGCTGAGGACGGAGATCGCATTTTGTATTTCTCCAACCCCTCCGATTCCCTTTGACTTGGCAGGGGAGCATCCTTGGGCTGTGCAGTGGAGGGGTGATGGCTCAGAGCCACATGTCTTGATCTGAGTGGGGTCCTAGCTCACTGTGTGACTTCAGGCCAGTTCCTTCCCCTCTCTGGGCCCCAGCTTCCCCATCTATAAAGCCATGTAACTGCTCTGAACCAGTGCCTACCATAGCTAGAGGCATATAAGAGTCATCTAGGGTGCTTGTTAAAAATACAGATTCTAGGCCCACAGTTCCAGATCTTACTAGGGCCGAACCAAATGTCTAGGTCCCAGTCTGCTGGACTTTCTGTCCAACTGGACGCAGTCAGCACTCTGCAAAATCGGAGATTTGTCTGATAACAATGACAGTGAAAATGATGAACTACAGGCAGTTGACTATTCCGAGAACTGCTTACCCTCACCGCGTGGAGATAAGGGTGGACCAGGGCCGGCAGATGCTGCTTGCTTTCAACATCAACCCCTAAACCAGGTTTCTTTTTGTGATGTTCATCCCACCCTTCCAAGCCAAGAGGTGGCAACAATTGTGTTTATGCTTTAGGTTTGTTGGCCATAAGATGAGAACGTGGTTTTAAATTTTCCCTAAAAGAAGACTGCTGGGAACTGTGGGGCCCACACCTGGGGGAGAAGCTCAGATCCTCAAGGACAAACATTTAACATTACATGCGCCTGTCCAAAACATCGAACTTAGCGATATTTCAAATGTGAATGCTTCTGGTGTTGGGGACGAGACAAAATGGGCACTTCATGCAATTGTTGATCGGTTTAGGAAAATAACCAAGACCTTAAAAATCCTCATTCCACTGGATCCTATATAACTCTATTCTGAGACTTTGACTTAAACAATTTATCTTAAACAGGGAGAAAAGAATTTTGCAAAATAATATCCATGCTGTTCAATATTTTGATCTGGATGATGTATGAAGCTGCATTTTCACTTCTTCACTTTACTACTGTATGTGAATAATACTGTTATTAAGAACAAGAACATTCCTGATAGAGGTATCAAAGCCTTGTTCTGAAGCCCAATTGTGACCTCTGTCACCTACCACTCATGGAACCCTATTATACAAGTTACTAGACTCTATGCCTCTCCCTTCCCATCTGCAAAATGTGAGGATTAAATGGTTTGAGACTGATTTGAATACTTGGGACAGTGCCTGCCATTTAGAAATCTTTCAATAATTATTAGAAGTTTTTAGTTATTATTGTTGAAACAGCAATTTGGTAAACAATCTAAAGGTTCAGAAATAAGGAAGCAATTAAATAATGTTGTAGCCATTAGAATCATGTTCAAAATAAGTTTGTGTAACACGAGGCAGTGCTTAGAGTATCATTTTAGGTAATTTAAGGGACTAAAGTCAGGATAACAAGATTGGCTATAAATCATAACCTCAAGTATGTTTAGAAACACGCTAGGAAGAAAGCATCGACGGAAACACATCACAGCGCTCACTGGGGTTGTCTCTTTATTTTCTTCTTTAAGCTCCTCTCCACTTCCTAAGCCAGAGTTTTGTATGCCTTGAAGACAATGTCTTCATGGAGGGCTCGGCCCCAAAGCCTTAGAGCGAGGCAATTTCTCCATTTCAGGCAGTCCCAAGGGGGTAGTGACAGCTGGGTTGAGTTGGGGACAGGGCCTCTCTGTTAGCCAGGGGAGGGGAGGGAAGGGGTACAGGCTAGCCACAAGTACCGCAAATTGCTAAGCTTCTGGGGCAGGCGAGGGAGGGGAACCAATGGCGTGAGCCTGTGTGTCGTTGCTGACAGCACCTTCTCCTCTGCAGCTGAACTACAAGGACTGTGAAAGGGCCGTGAGGAAGCACCTCATCGACGGCGCTCGGTTTTTGGTAAGCTCTGGCCAATGCAGCATCCGAAACCAAGGATGCTCTGTACTCCCCCTGCCCCCAGTGGCTGCAGGGCCAACTCGTCTACCCTGTCCTTGGGGACACCCACGTCAATGCCTGTCTCCAGGGGTCCTAGAGCAGCTTCTGCCTTCTCCAGAGTCTTCCTAGGGCCCCTCTCTCACCACCTCTCAGGACCCTCCCCTTCAAACCCCTCTCAGGTCTTTCACTGATACCAAGATACACTCTAAAGTTAAAGGATAAGGAGGAATCCAAGTACCGTTGGAAAAAAAAATCTGGAAAATCTATTCAAATACCATCCACACTTTGAGAAGCCTGAGGGGAAAAAATGATCATATCGGAGAACGGATGATTCTCACCTCCAATTTCTCACTCTGGGGTACATGCCCACTGAGAGGAATAAAGGGCGGCATCATCTTTTTATTTCAATTACTTCCCTCTTTCTCGCTACCAAAATTCACAGTTGGTTCTGTGTCAAACATACGTGTGACGTGGCTCTCTCCACTGCGTTGTCATCCACAAAGCCTTCAGTCTGAGACCAGGGTGCAGATGTCCATTCGGCACTGAGCCACGGAAGGGACAGGGACGCAGCTCCAATGCTGGAGACAGATACAGGATGTGGTCGGGGGTGGTCTGAGCATTTTCCCTGAGGTGACACCTTTTCCTGCGGGTTAAGAGAGACCCTGAGGACACCAATCCATCCCTTCTGGGCACTTTGCTTCACTCTTTAAGAAAGAAATGTAAACAGGACTTTAAAGGTCTCAAAGGGCGGATGTTCCTAATTTGGATTCAGAGTAGTGAGGAAGGCACACTAAGCTGTGATGGCCTGTAAGTCACACCAGTGAGGGAACTTGGCCCTGAGGCTTCTGGCCAGTTGGAAGGGACCAGAGAGGTCACAGGCGCCAGTTTGTCATTCAGGACACCAGTCCATTTCTTATATTGCATCCCTGCTATCAACATATGCTTGAATTCCTTCAGGGATGGTGAGCTCACTACCACCTGTAGTCATCTGCCCCTTTCTGGGCAGCTCTGAAGTCTCATGTTGAGACCAAACCTGTGCTCCCATTGGTCTGAGTTTGCTTTCGGGTGCAGTGTAAGATGTGTTTATTCACTATCCACCTAAATCATTCATTCATCCACCCATCCATTCACTGGGCAGGCATTTTCCTGAGGTCCTTTCACGTGCTGGATCATGCCAAGTGCTTTGGGATAGAGAAACAATTAAGATGTAATTTCTGCCTTCTAGAAGCTTGTTTTATAGCAGAAAGGTATCTCCAGGAAGGCCTCCAGCCACCTCTTTGCAGATGAGGAAACACATGCAGAGGTGTGATGTGGTTTGTTCTATGTCACACACCTAGTAATCGAGCTAAAGCACACATTTAATTTAGTCTAAAACGGTTTGAGCTTATAACAATGTTATTTATTTATACCGAGCTTCAAGTCAATAGAATTGCTGGAGTTTTATTATTACTATTCTTGCAAATTCCTGCTGAACTCAAATATTTCATCCTGGTGCCTTTAGCATTGAGAACAGAAAGTTACCATGTTTGAGTAAAAATAGAGGATAACGTCTTTGAGGACGGTCCTGCTGTGGTCCCACTGCCCTGGGTCACCTTGAGCAAGCCCTTTCCTCCCTGAGCCTCCCTTGCTCCCTTCTGCATTGGGCCAGATCGTGGCGGACACCAGCCCTTCCCAGCTCTGGGATTCCCCCAACACTCCCCCTGTGGGTGTCAGGCTTGGGAGGACAGGTCATTTCCTTGGTCGAGAGGTATTTTCTGAGCATCTATGTCTCCTCTACTTCAATCTCTGGGACTCAGCAGTCCCTGAGAGAATGCAGCACATTCTGCTCATTGTGCGAACAGGAGGGAAGTGGGGAGACAGGAGCCAGGAGAGTAGGGAGCAGAACCCAGCCCCCACCCCTACAACTGGGGAAATCCATCATCCACCCCGCTGCTCTGGGTACAATTTTGGACTCCTGGTGTAAGCTCTAAGTACTTGTCTTTCACTCTTTCCGGCTCTCTGATATCCAGGGCCAGTCTGCTATTGAAGGCAGAAGTGGAAGGCCCTAGTTGTTCCTTCCTTCCTTCCTTCCTTCCTTCCTTCCTGCCTGCCTTCCTTCCTTCCCTCCCCTCCCTTTCTTTTCTTTCTTTCTTTCTTTTTCTTTCTTTCCTTCTCTCTTCCTTTCTTTCTTTTTCTTTCTTTCTTTCTTTCTTTCTTCCTTCCTCCCTCCCTCTTTCTTTCTTTCTTCCTCTCTTTCTCTCTTTCTCTTTCTTCCTCTTTTTCTCTCTTTCTCTCTCCCTTCCTTCCTTCCTTCCTTCCTTTTTTCTTTCTTTCTCTTTCTTTCTTTCTTTCTTTCTTTCTTTCTTTCTTTCTTTCCTTCTTTCTTTCTTTCCTCTTTCTCTCTCTCTCCCTCCCTCCCTCCCTCTCTCTTTCTTCTTTCTTTCTTTCTTTCTTTCTTGCTTCTTCTTCTACTTCTTCAAAGTAGGAGCAAGGAGTCCCCTTGAATCTGTCTTGCTGTCATGTTTGTTTTCCATTAAGAAGGATAGAACCTTGTCTGGTGGAGAATAGGGGTGCTATGCTTCCAGAAGTATTAAAAGAGAAGGAAATGTGCTTGAAATCAGTTGGGAAGGCATGTGGCTCCATGTCACAGAAACCTGACCACAGTGGCCTGACCAAATATAGGTTGGTCTTTCTCAAGTAATAAGAAATGTACAGATGGGTGCTCAGGGATGGTGAACTGCTGAAGGAAGTCATCAAAAACCCAGGCTTCATCCAGCCTGTGTAAAAAGCCTACGGTTCCTGTCCAAATGGTTGTGAGTTGACTACTCCACCTCTAGGCATCACATCTGTGTTGTAGGCAGGGGGAAGGGGGGAAAGGGCAAAGAGTAAAAGGTGCATGGCGAATGGTAAATGTGTGCCCCCTTTTTGCAGGAAAGTAGTAAATTTTCCAGAAGTTTCATCCAGTGGACTTTAGGTAATATCTCGCTGGCCGCAATGGAGTCACATGACCTCCACCATCTGCAAAGGAGTCTAGGGAGTTAAATATTTTGAACAAGTATGCTTAAAGCCCCGAATTCAGGACCTGTCAGTAAGGACAAAAGATAGAGTGGATATGAGTAGGCAAACAGCAGTGTCTGCCATATTGCCTCTCCAGGTGGGCCCAGTTTGTAGCTTTGCCCTCTCTGTGTCCCTCTTCTGGACATCCATAGCATATAACACTGCTGCAAAGTCACAAAACTAACTCCAAAATCATCATACAAGCGACCCAGAGTTTGCTGAAGGTTTTTGAAAGAGGTGGTGGTAAGGGGGGCTTACGTCACACAGCAATACTCTCCAAAAATCCTGTTTCTACATCTCTCATCTTTCCTCACCGTTCTTGTCCCAGTTCTAAATGTCTTTCTTTTTCCTAACAACCTGCTCCTCTGTGTCTCCAGCTGTGCTCACCTTTGCCTGCTCCTCCACAATGTTCCTGAAATTCCCTCAGCTATGTTCACCCCTCAGCACAACAGAAGCTGGTAGCCAGCTGCCTGGCGCTCAGCTGTCGTCCCTCTGGCAGCCCCAGGAACCTTCAACTCGTCACGCTGCACTCTGAATATGAGCCTCGGTCCCCTCCCTGAGAGTAACACAGCTCTGGAGGGAGGAGATGCTGCTGCTCAATGACATTAAGAAAGAAAAAGCAGAAGAGGTTAAGAAGCTTGACCAAAAGCCTGGTGCTCACAGGACTCTTGGCTGACTCTCTTAACCTTCCCCAGCCTGCCTCACATGGTCTGATAAGGGGTCTGGGTCCGAAACTGCTCCTAGGAGCTAGGTCAGATGAACCCAATAAGCACACTGCTAAGATGCCCCAGCCCAGCCCCTGTGCCAGCTGAGCTCAAAGGCAAGCTTGTCCAGTTCTTCCCAGTGGGCAGTAAACAACCTGACAAGCAGCAAGGAGAAAAAGAAGCAAAAATATCTCCAAGACCCAGCCAGAACCCCCCCTCACCCCCACCGCCACCGACTTCCACCTCCTGAGCCAGCGATTCCTCATCTTTCTCCCCAATGTCTCTGTTGCACACTCTGCCAGGCACTGTGCCAAACTCATTACATACACCACTCCACTCAATCCTCATGCCCCTGAAAGGTGGGTGTTATTATGAATAGTATAATTATCCCCATTTTACAGATGAGAAAACTGAGGCTTGGAAGGGCTAAGTGTGTGCCCAAAATAAGACAGCTGCCAAGTGGACAAACTAAGACTCAAATGCAGCCTGTCCACTCCAGAGCCCTGACCCTGACCACCAGCGCTGACCGCGGGCCTTGACTAGAATGGCCTGGAGCCCCTTCTCTGGCTCACGGCTGGCTCTGTGGAAAGCATGCCCACCCTCTTTTCTGATCCCAACACTGGCATGTCTGCCCTCCACCTGCCTTCAAGATGTCTTCTGCCACCCTCTCCACCCACCTCCCGTCCAGCTTAGGCCACGGGGACCCCCAAGGAGCTCAGACTTGGGAGGTTCTCTGGGAGAAAATAGACTGTGATGCTCTAGAGCAGAGTCCCAGCTCCAGCCCATCACCTACCAGCTGAAGTCCCCTTGATGTCCCTGAGCCTCGGTGTTCCTGGGAATGTATCACAGATAGTCCCTACATCACAGGGTCGATGGAGGATGAACTAAGGTGTTACAAGGCAAAAGCCCAGAGTCAGTTCTTGACAAATCAGCCTGTCTTTCTCCTTCCCCTCTGCGTTCCCTCAGGAAAGCCTTTTCACTGCATCCCCCGTCTCGAGAGCTCCACCGGTAGCCCTGTGAAAGTCTCTGGGGTGCGATGGTGTAAAAGGAACAGAGAGCCCCTCTCCAGGCTGGCTTCTCCACAGCTGGGCCACGTGGAGCCTGAGGGGCCCTGAAGTCCGGGGTGTGAATTTAGGGAAGAGGTCACAACATGGCCAAATTCAGCCCACAAAACAAGTTGTCTGGTTTCACAGGTTTTTCTCTCATTGTTTTTATTTGGTTAAGTCAGAAATATTTGTCAACATTAAAAACTCAGAACATTTTGCATAAAATCCACATTTCAGGATTCGCTTTGAAAAAGTAGATCCAGCAACACTAGGCCTAGCCCACAGGCTTTTAGACAACATCTAGAAGCTGCCCGCTTTGGCTGGGTGGATGGGGGTATACACTTCAGTTTGCCACAGGCCCCACCCCTCCCTAGACTGTTCTACATGTTACTCTTCTCACCTGGGTCAGAGCCCTCCCTGCGGGTTGTAACCTGCCTGCCATGCGTGTCTTCATTTCAGAACCTAACAGAAAACGACATCCAGAAGTTCCCCAAGCTCCGGGTGCCGTAAGTACTCCCCTGACTCCTCGGGCTGTTTGGGAAACAGAGGTTGGGATGGGAAGTAGTCTAGGGGGTCTGGGTCAGTTACGTATCACTGTTGGCTTGAAATAAGAAAGCAGGCGGGATGGCTGGGACAAGGGCAGGGCATGGGGAAGAGAAGTTACACAATGAGTTGGAAAAAGGAAGTAACAGCTCCAGCCCAGCTGATGAGTTGGATGCTCTTGCCAAAGATAAGCCCAACTCTCGATGATGTTTTCACTTCCTCTCTTCCCATGGGGTTCTTGGGCCTCTAAGAATAGCACCAGCACTGAGAGACCATAGGGTTCACCATGGCATCATCATCAACTCTGTGATTATCTTGAGTTTTTCCGAACCTTTGTTTCCAGCTCAGCAAAATGAGAGCTGAGCCAGATGAAGGATGGCAATGCAAATCGGTGTGCGTAAATACTGACTGCCTGCAAATGGCTGCCAGGGGTGCTGTGTTGAGAAGAGTCCTGAGGAAACAGAGCCGTTATTGATTACTCATGTCTGCCGTGGGTGCTAAAATAGAAGTTAGAGTATGCATTTCACACCATGCCTTTTTCATCCCTCTAGTAAAGGTCTCATGTACTCAAATACCTACAGGAGCCAGGCAGGAGAAGCAATATATATAAAATGAGCCAGATTGAAAACACGAAGCCCTATTGATTTCTTTTGTTTGACCACCATTGAGTAAAACAGTGGTAAATATTCTCTATGGAGAAATATTTCTCCACTATAAGAAAAATAATAGCACAGTTATGATGATAAAAAATAGTGACCACCACAAAGCCTCATTGTTGGTGAAACAATAGGGAGTGGTGGGGATTGTGGCAAACCGGATATTATAATCTCCGTTCAAAGAATGCAGTGGCTACTGCACTCCAGTGTGGACCCAACAATATCCAACCTTCAAATTTATCAAGAGTAGCTGGAAATATGGGCTTTATGTGATATATCTCAATTTTTAAATGTTGGGTCAAATATTTTTAAATATTGTGAAAGCCAAAGTAAACATACCTATGGGCTAGAGTTAGGCTGGGTGTTACCCATTTGAGACCTCAGCTCTGGACATTCTCTGAGGTCCTTTCCCTTGCTCTAAGGGTCTCAGAACTCATAATAATAAAAGACAAGCAGGCCAAACGAGTAGGAGGTTGGAGATCTTATGAATAGGTAGAAATGCCAAGGCTCAATTAAAAAAGTATTTTTTAGCATGATTATCAGGTTTCCCCTTGTCTGGAAGGCAAAAGGAAAAGAGAGGAACAAGGGTTTGCCTTTGGGACTAGTGTTGTTGAAGATGGCTTGATCTTTCTAAGGGTTTCCTCTAACCACATGTGGCTATTTAAGTTTAAATTTAATTTAAAATTCAGTTACTCAGAGGCACTAGCCACATTGTAATAGCTACATATAGCTGGAAACTACTATACTAGAGCAGATGTAGAACATTTCCATGATTGCAGAAATGTGACGCTCTAGAAACAGCCATAGTTCTCTGTCAAAGAGAGACCTTCCCACATAGCAGCCAGACCCAGCCTGCGGGTGTGTTCAGTTTAGTCCACATTGTGTTTTAAAATCAAGAAAAGTTTCACAAAATCCAGCTTCTTTAGAAGCAAGTGAAAGATGTGGTAATCCAGGGCCCATATTCTCTCGTGGCAGGAGTGGGCAGGATCTGATGTCTGCTGCCCTGTTTAGGTGGGGTTTGCGCTCCCCGTGCACCACACTCCCTACCACGACCCGAGGGGTTATCCTAAGGCACAGCAAGTGTTTATATCCTATGCACAGGAACTTGGCTCTCTGACCAAGATGCAGTAATAGGATCATATTTACTTTCCCATGTGAAACAACCAAATACCCAGACAAATACACGGAACAGCAGTTTTCACGACACTGGGCATCAGACAAGGAGAATGGAAAACAAAGGCGGTGAACCCTGTGACTGCTCGCTGCCTTGAGAGAGTCTCCAGGCCACGGTGCAGGGGCCGGAAACACAATGCTAAGTCTGGTGGACACCTTGAGTTGAGGACACAGCTGAGAATGCAGGCGTCTGGAGTTCATCAAACAGGTGCCAGAGAGAAGAGCGATCTCTCGAGTGTTCCAGGGAGGTTCAGAGGACCTCTCTGCATCAGGTGCTGAGCAGTACATGTACGAAAGGAGACTGTCTGCAGTTCACAAAAGAACTACCCAAGAGGACTGAAGGAGCTAGTAGCCACTCACAGGGCTGGAAATGGTGCCTGTTTCTACCAGCCTAATTGGAAAACCTCCAGATGCACAGTCATTGGGTACAGTGCACAGAAGGATCTTGCCTTAATAGCGGGGAATAATTAGCCCTAATCTAAAAAGTTTTCTGGTCTTTCCTAGCAAATCTTAAAAGCAAGATTCAAAAGAAATAAATTGTTTCTCAGTAACTTAACTGCATCTCAAAACAAAACTTAAAACTCTTCATAGGAATGCAAAAATACTCGTTACACAATGAAAGAAAATTCACAATGTTAGGCATCTAATCAGAGACTAACAGGCATGCAAATAAGCAGGAAAGTATGACCCATAATGAGGAGAAAAGCTAACACATCAAAACTGCCCCTTAACTAACCCAGATATTAGAATTATCAGACAAGGACAATATAACTATTCATATGTTTGAATAGTTAAATTCAGGCATGGGAAATACAAAAAGACCCAAACAGAACTTCTAGAGATGAAGACTGTAATATCTGAGATTAGAAATACACTGCTTGGGACTAAGAGCAGGTTAGATATTGCAGAAAAAATAGTAAACATGGAGATACAGTAATAGAAACTCTCCAAAATAAAGCACGGGGAGAAAAAAAATTAAAACAAAACAATAAAAAGAGCACCAGGGAACTTTGGGACAACTTCAAGTAGCCAGATGTATGTCTAAAGTCCCCAAAGAAGAGGAAAGAATGTGCATATGAGACAGGAAGGAGAGACATAAATAAAATATTTGAAGAAATAATGGCTAAAACATTTTCAAGTTGGATGAAAATTATAAACCCACAGATCCAAGAGGCTTAACAAACATAAAGTCCAAGAAAAAAGAAGAAAAATACCCCAAGGCACATCATAATCAAATTC